TTTTGATTTTACTAGGCTGTATTTGATTACCGTCAGAAAATCCAACTGGTCATAGGAGACATTTGATGCTACGATGCTAGGTTTTTGGGCGATGTCGGCGGGTCGGTGCTTCGCCGTCAGGGAAAATGGATTCTGACAAGCTTCATTATACTGAGACTATATGCGACTGCCGTACTTCTGAATAGTGCAAGTCATTAAAGTTCGCATAAAGGAAAACCAGACGACTCGTTCTTGAGTCCCAGACAGTTGCCAAACGTGACAAAAGGTTAGCCTTGCACAGTCAAGGTACCCATTCCGTCATAGAATCGTTCGCCTCTCGACATCCAAGCGCGGATTTCTCTATCCATCTTTCGCAACCGAAGCCGTGACTCATCGGTCCAACTAACTTTATTGCGTTGAGTAGAACGCCACACTTTCAGTAGCATAGGAAAATCCAAGCGTGTTAGGTTACGCTTCTTATTGAACCACGACGCTTTAAGCTGTCTTCGAGTTATATTTCTTCACGACCTCTTTCACTCAACACGGATGGACGCGCCTAAATCCATTTTCATATAACGAACCTAGGGAGGATACGAACCGATTAGAAATCATGTGACCTCCTACCGTAAGTAGACATTGGCATGAGGGAGAGCCGTGAGTGCAGAGACGCTGCCCGTGAAATCATTGAGGCTGGCTAGATCAGGCATGATCACAGCTGTATGAAGTAAAATCAAGCACAAGTACCTGTGACCTTTTAAGGTCTCGCAGTTCTGTTATCAGTGGACAACCGCTACCCAAAATTCGCTGGCAATAGTCCGTTATTTCACGTCGTCCCAGCCGGCCCGTAACAGTCTTCTGACGAACTTATCCTAACGGGCTAGAAAGTCTCTAACAGTAATATTGCAGGTGCGATCACGCGCAGTTTAACTTGCGTTTCTGTAGTTCTCATCGGACAGGTTTTACGAGACGGGGAAATAAGATGGTGAGATGGGGGTGAGACGAATGATGACAGTCTGGCAACATCTGCCAGCGATATTCTTTGTCTGCTGTTATAAGGTAAGCACGAATGCAGTCAGAAGGGTTAGACAGCTTAGGCAGCTAAAAAAACCAGTTATTGAAGGATTGAGTCCTAACGAAGCATGTGGATTCCCCGAGAGAAGAGACACGATAGACACGCTCGACCAGAAGACAGCACTGAAAGAAACACGGTTGTTTAGAACATTTAAATGTGTCGCCTGTTGCAGAAATGGGCTATGGTTTTGAAATTACCTGTACGTGCGCTGCTAAGTGGGCACAGCGTGCGTTTGCAAGACAAAGCTGGGTCTACTTAAAGGCTTATCCTAACTAAGAGACTTATGTTTTGCTCGAAGTCAACATTCAACCTGGCAGGAAGGTTAAATAGTGGCACACAGCTAATCCGAAACATCAAATAGTTAAATGTTTGGGTGAACTGAGGACTACTGTTACAGGCTGGTTGAAACGAAATGAAACAACGAGCGATTGTCAATGAATTTGGGGATAGCGGTTGTCCACTGATAACAATGCTGTGAGTTCCTAGGAGGCACAACACAAGTCTTCAGCATGATTTTTCCTTCTTCGGGTCTCTATTCGGGTTTAGTAGCCTCGGAAATTCGGACAGGCCAGAAAGCCCCCCCCACGTTTCAGCTAAAATATCAATCCTTTTTCCCTGCTACTGCCACTGTGCGTAGGCCAAAATGTGACCATCAGTTAGGGAAGGCCTTGCCAATTTAGCAGTGATCCCACCACCTTAAGGAAGTTTAACCAAGCTGCAGTTACCTGCAAATGATTTGCGGCACTAACTCTAAGAACATAACGTTTAGCACTGAGTATCTGTCTTTTGACTGGGCAAAATTGCACCTTCAGTATTTATTTCTCCAAGTAAATTAGTAGCCAATTACCTATTTTCATTCTGCCATTTAGTCTTTACATTTGCATGTCTTCGATAACGGTGTTGGAAACACCTGCAGTTTTGTAATTAAGAAAGAAATATATATATATATATATGTATGTGAACAGGCGTGCCAATCTCACCCATTGCTTTTTCACCGAGAACGACTGATGCTAGTTTGTGACAA